ACACCGAGGACCTATCCACGTCATCATTTACCCAGAATGCTTTGTGTGTAAATAAAATGGCTCCGTCCGTGTTAAAACATATTTTTAAACTTTTAGTTTAAAAATGATAAAAACTAAACATCCTACAGTATTTTAACAGTCTTTATTTTACAGTTAAAATATCTGTTTATCAAATAAAGTCTAATGTTACAACTAATCATGGATCCCTTTAACGGTTATGAGCACAAGACTTCTCTCTGTCCTCCTTTTCATTCCCAGAAAAACTTTAAAAGCACACTGTAAAATCTTATACTCAGTCTGACTGAATCATATTTAACATATACACTCCAGTAAGACCACTCTGTTCAGTCATTTCCTTTGAGAAGTTGCAGTTGTGTGAAAAAGTTGACCTCGAATATGAACCACTGAGACTGTTTAGACTCTTAAATCTCTTCTTAAGACCCACCTTTTTCCTCGGTTTTTGATTAATTTGTGATATTGGTTTACTTGTTCTTTTATTAATACTTTTATTTACATACTTTTAATGCTGTTTAACCTTTATGTTTCACCAAATTATGCAGCACTTTCTTCAGTTTCCGTTGTATTTTACTAACTAGTGAAACCTTGACACCACTAACTAATCACGCCTCTGTATCATCAGTTAGTAAAACTTCACAGCCTCCTATTGTCTCTACAGAATCGTGCAGCTCCTGATCCCTGTCACCAGCAGGGTTAGAGTGCAAAGCTGTGGCATCAGCCCTCTGCACATCGCTGCAGAGAAGAACAGGGATGACATCATGGAGCAGATGATTGAGTCAGGCTTTGATGTAAACGCTGAGCTGTCAGACGAACGCTCCAAGATGTACATGGACCGGCGGACCACAGCGTTGTACTTCTCTGTCTTCAACGGGAACCTGGATATTGCTGAGATGCTCCTGCAAGCTGGAGCCAACCCCAACTTGGACACGTTCAACCCTCTTCTCATCGCTGTCCGGCTTGGAAGGAAGGATCTAGCAGAGCTGTTGGTGAGGTATGGTGCTGACGTCAATGCTCAGATGTCCACACAGCCGTCATCATTCCCATCAGCCATCCTGCTCAGCATGGATTCTCCAGCTGTTCTCAAACTTCTGCTTGACAATGGCTGCGATGCCAGACTCTGCTTCGACTGTACGTATGGCCTGAAACCACATCCAGTTATTGCACAGTCACGGCGACCCATAGAAGAACTTCGGATTAATGAACACATGCCGGCGCAGCACTGCATCCAGGTGAGTTTGAACCTGTAAAACTGATATAATTGTAGATGTATGAATAACACAAAATGTGTCCTTTGTGTTTTTGTCAGTACTGTGAAGCCATCTCTAGCTCATCCATCAGCCAGATATCAGGTCCCATAATCTCGATGCTGTTGGACTACGTCGGTCATGTCCAACTCTGCTCTCGACTGTTGGAGATCCTGGACAGTCGCAGTGACTGGACGCCCATCAAACTGAAAGCTTGTAAGTAACCAAAGCACAACTAGCAGCTGTTGAATGTTGTGGAGATCACAATTTTTTATTTCAATTAGGTATTAAATCCTTAATTATGGATACTGAAGTATAAAATCCAGAGTCTTTTTTTAGTTTAGTTTAATAGTTTGTTCATTTTGATTAAAAACAAAAATTTCAATACAACAAAAAAGAAACACAAATGTCATAAAATGAAAGGAAGCAGAAGAAGAAAAAAGATCTTATATCTGCCCCATTTAACTATATATATTACTATTCTACTCTATTCTGCTCTGCTCAACTCAACTCTACTGTACTTTATTCTACTCTACTCTACTCTACTCTACTCTACTCTACTCTACTCTACTCTACTCTACTCTACTCTACTTTACTCTACTTTACTCTACTCTACTCTACTCTACTCTACTCTACTCTACTCTACTCTACTTTATTCTACTCTACTGTACTCTATTCCACTCTACTGTACTCTTTTCTACTCTATTCTGCTCAACTCTACTCTACTCTACTTTATTCCACCCTACTCTATTCCACTCTACTGTACTCTATTCTACTGTACTTTATTCCACTCTACTGTACTCTATTCTACTCTGCTCTACTCTATTGTACTCTATTCTGCTCTACTCTACTCTACTCTATTCCACTCGACTGTACTCTATTCTACTCTATTCTGCTCAACTCTACTCTACTCCACTCTTCTGTACTCTGTTCTACTGTACTTTATTCCCCTCTACTGTACTCTGTTCTACTGTACTTTATTCCCCTCTACTGTACTCTGTTCTACTGTACTTTATTCCCCTCTACTGTACTCTGTTCTACTACTGTACTCTATTCTACTCTGTTCTACTCTGCTCAACTCTACTCTACTTTATTCCACTCTACTCTACTCTACTCTACTCTACTCTACTCTACTCTACTCTACTCTACTCTACTCTACTCTACTCTACTCTACTCTTTTTATTTTGTTTGTTTTACTAACAGCACCAACAACAGTCACCTTCTCACCAAGCATTTTATTAATGGTGTGTAGTTTATCCCAACATGTGCAGATCTATCATCTGGTCTCTGAAGTCCTTTGACAAATATTTGGACTGACTCAGAAGTTGGAGCACAAGAAACTGATTCTGTTGACAAGTAGCTTTTATACTCATATGTTGAGATCCTGAATGATCGATTCTGGGCTTAATTCTGGATGATTGTTAGGGATCAAATAATTCCCTCAATAGGCTGTAAATAAATCTGTAACCTCCATGTTTTTTTATTTTATTTTGTTTTTCTCCAATAAAATGAAACTACTTTAAATATAAGAAGCTGTTAATTTATTTGTGGGAGAACTTACCCAGAGATCAAATCCTTTTTTTCACCACTGTATAAAACAAAAACACAGAAGTCATTAACACATCAGAAAGTAAACAACTGTTGGTAAATCTTTTGGGAATGACCATGTTTGTGCAGTTTGTGGTAAACGCTGGTTAAAATGCCTCAAGAAAGCATAGATGTAACAAGCTGGGTTTTTTTTAAATCAAATCAATTGTCTCTGTCTTTTAGATGGAATCAAAAGGTAAAGTGTTCCTTATTTAGGAACGTTTAGACTGCTTTTTGTGGATGATATACTTCTGTTGGAGCCAGATGATTAAACAACAGAGGCCATAATCTTCAACTGGAAAAGATAGATTATCAACTCTGTGTTGGGAATGAGCCATAGCTCCAATCAGAGGAATTAAGTATCTCGGTTCTTGTTATGATTATGGGTGGAACAGAACACAAGAGTGGCAGGCAGTTTGGGACAGCTTTTGCAGTGAGGCAGGTGCTATACAAGGAGACAAGTCACTGCTCCTGCACAACAAGAGATCCACCTAAGGTGGTTTGGGCATCTAAATAGGACACCCTTGAGAAAGGACTTTCAGATATGTCCCACTGGGATGTGAACTTGGGCCAAACCCAAGATATCCTGAGAAGATTATACCTCACAGATGGTTTAGGACGGCCTTGAAGTCCTTTCAGATGAGCTGGAGGAGGTAGCTGTTGAGACAGATGCTGCTGCCTCACAACTGGTTTCAAATATAACACAACAGATGATGGATATTTGAATAGATGTGCTCAACAGATATGATGTTCTGTCTCTGTTTTGGTTCCAGTTCCTCCTCATCCTCTGATGCAGCTCTGCAGACTGAAGATTAGGTACCTAGTCGGAGTCCAACGGCTCAGACTGATCCACACTCTGCCACTTCCTGTCCGACTCATTTCCTTTCTGCGCTATGACATGCAGTGTTCTCTCACCTGAAACCTGCTGATGAACTGAAAACTTGCTAGTGAATTTTTACCTGATTGTGAGTTCTTTTAGTATTTTGTTTTTCTACTGTTCTGTTTACTTCGTTTTGTTGTCCGTTTGTCTTTTCTTCATATTGTTGTTCAGCACTTTTGGCAGTGTGCCTGAAACATGCTAACCCTGAAGCTCAATCAAAGGCCTAGCATTCATCCAGGTCATGTTAAATCCAAAGAAATGGTTAAAAAACAAAACAAAACTGGACTTTTATTCTATGGCTGAAGATGTTTTAGTTCCCATCCTGTAGGGTTAATCAATTAAAATAATGTCTGGAGTGGTGTGCAGTTCCAAGCTTTATAGACCTGCCTGAAAGGCCTCATTAGTGCCTTCATAGATTAACCAGGAACTACTCACCCCTAACAGTGGAGAGTGGCTAGGCTTTTTGTTTGCCTGCCTCACAAAGAGATATTGTGGCCACATGCATGAAAGTGTGAATTCAAGTAAAACCGACTGGGAATCAGGCTTGATGAAGTCTGAGAGGTTGTTGAAAGTTGAAATCTGAGAACATCTCCTTTGTTTAAAGTTGTTTTATTTTGTTTGACATAAATGTCTTCTTTAAAATCATCTGCCTAAAGTATGAACATGTTGGTCCTCAAAAAAGTGACTCTTTGTCTGCATCAATGCATGCCAGTGTTTAAAAAAAGATCTGCAGACTGTGTGACAGAAGCTGCTCAGCTACTATCACACCAAACATTAGCTTAATATTTGCAAAAATAAACACATTTGTATTTGCTAAAGTTGGTTGGTGACCATCTTCAGTTGTGTTGTCCAGTGCTTACTGTCTGATTTTAATAACAATTATAATTAAAGGCTCCTTGAGGTCAGTTGAGGTGGCTCGGGCATCTGGTAAGGATGTCTTCTGGACGCCTCCCTGGTGAGGTGTTCCGGGCACGTCCCACCGGGAGGAGGCCCCGAGGAAGACCCAGGACACGCTGGAGGGCCTATGTCTCTCGGCTGGCCTGGGAACGCCTTGGAGTTCCCCCGGAGGAGCTGGAAGAAGTGGCTGGGGAGAGGG